CCCCTCCCCGGCTTCTGACACTCGTACACCAGCAGACCTTTTTTTCTCTCGCAACCCCCCAGCAGATTACCACCATGCCCTGTGTGTCTGCCCCCTCGACCCCCTCCCCGGCCGGGGCGAACGCCGTGGATACCACGCCCCCCGGTGGCGGCGCCCTCCCCGACATGGCCTCCAGCGTGATCGCCTCCTACGTGTCGCCGCTGGGCGGCTCGGCCGAGGAGTCCTCCGCCGCACACCCCTCCGTCTCGCTGGTGGACCTGCCCGACTCGGCATCCAGCATGAATGCCCTGAGCCCGGAGGCCCGGATGGCCCTCCTTCGGCGGCCGTGGCGCGGCCCGGTCGGCACCTACCCGGCCGTCTGGCTGGACGAGTTTGGCCGCGGCCACGGCGAGGGCGGCTTCGAGGATGAGGCTGCGCAGTGCGTACCCGAGTTTCCCCCCCCCCCTCCTCCCCCACGGCCACCATGTGCCCCTCCCTCCGCACCCACTGACCCGCATGCACGCCCACGCCCACACACACACACACACACACAGCCTCGCCTTCATCCACCAGCTCCCCAGCCCGCTGGCCAACCTGCCGGACCACCTGAAGCTCCCCCCCCTCTCCGAGGATGAGACCCGCCGGGGCAAGATCACCGTCGTCCTGGACCTCGATGAGACCCTGGTCCACTGCCGCATGCAGCCGTGGGAAACCTCGCACGATGGCTACGACCCGGACCTCAACCCGAGCATCACCAATTTCTACGACGTCAACCGCAATGAGCCGCCCCTGGAGGAGATGGAGTTCGAGATCGTCGTCAACGGCCAGCCCCTGCGGGTGTATGCCCGGCTGCGCCCCAAGCTCCGGGAGTTCCTCCAGGCCATGGCCGACGAGCCGGAGATCTTCGACGTCGTGGTCTTCACCGCCAGCCAGGCCGTCTATGCGGACGCCCTGCTGGACCGCATCGACCCGGCTGGCAACTTGGTCTCGCACCGCCGCTACCGTGACACCTGTGTCCAGGTGGGCCCGCTCTTCGTCAAGGACCTTCGCGCCCTCGGCCGGCCTCTGGACCGCGTGGTCCTCGTCGACAATGCCCTCCTCTCCTTCGGCTACAACATGGACAGCGGCGTGCCCATCCGGTCGTGGTACGGCCGCGACCGGTCGGACCGGGCCCTGCACGAGCTGACCGAGCTCATGTTCGAGACGGCCGAATTCTGCGGCACCCGCCGTCGCGATGGCAGCCTCTTCCGCGCGGCCGAGGCCCTGGCCGCCCTGGGCACCACCGGCGCCTCCGCCTCCTCCCCCTCCTCCGGGTCAAGCGCCGCCTCGCTGTCCCCCTGCTCGGTGCTGACGCCGCCCCTGACCAAGCAGCTGTCCTTCAATGGCACCGCCGCCGGCACCAGCCCGGCCGATGCCGCCGCCGCCGCCGCCGCCCCGGCCAGCTCGTCCCAGGACTCCACCGACTCCGAGTCCGCGGATGATGACAGCGACACCGGCGGCGCCCCCTCGGCGGCGGCCCTCACTCGCGATCGCTCCTCCTCCTCGGTGCACTCGCAGTCGGCGGCCGCCGACTCCAGCCAGCAGCCCCCCTCTCCCTCGGCCGGGACCGAGGGTGCCGATGCGGCGGCCGCCGCCACCTCCTCGCCCAAGGCCCAGCCGCTGCGCGACATTCGTGAGCTCCTGATCGAGCGCTTCGCCATGCCGATGCGCCTCAACCGTCACATCCCCCCGCCGCCGATCACCGAGAGCGGCTGGTCCCTCGGGTGGTAAGGAATGGGAAAGGGGGGGCGTGCGGCGGGGGAGGGGGCGGACAACACCGCTCCTCCCTCCCCCCCCCCCTTCTCCTTCCCCTCCCTCTTTCAACACCTCCACATAAAAGTTGATAGACGGCCGGCTGGCTGACGGCGGCGGAGGAGGGCGCGTGTGTCTGCCTTCTTTCCTTTTTTTGGCTTCGCTCCTGTCCTACACACGCAGGGCCCGCCGCGCCGCGCACGGCACGCCCCCCTCCTCCCTGCATTTCCTCCCCCTCAATTTTTCATATGCCCCCTTGCCTGGTGGCTCCTTCTTTCCTCCCCCCCCCCTTTCAGACACACTCCATGCTGCAGTCTGTGTAGTCCTTGTTAGTTCAGTTCTTCCCCCTCTTTTCTCCATCCGGTCGCTTTTCATCCCGGACCAGGAGGGCAGCGCATGTACCACCACCTCTCTCCTCTCCGTTTGTTTGGGTTTCCCCGTTCTCCTTGGGTCGGGGTGGGGCGGCCGGTAAAGGGGCAGGGGCAGGGGCAGGGGGGGGGGAGCTCCAACAACAGCTAAAGATCCTCTTGGAGAAGCACCAAGCACCGGGAGGGGGGGCCGCTGGCCACATGTACCGGCGAGAGTTTGCCACCGGACCCGGGGGGGATGGCGCGCCGCCCGTGCATGCGCGCACGAGAGCGGGGAACGGGCAGAGAGAGAGGAGGGACGCCAAGAGGCGCGGGGGGGGGGGGGGGGAGAAAAGCCCGCTCGGTGCCCTCCCACAAGGCCCAGGGGCCGGCCAGATTGCGGCTCCGCCCCCTTTGCGACGAAACGCCATTCGTGGTCATGGCCCGGGCGGCGGAGCAACACGACAGAGGCCGTGTGCTCGCCCGATGAGAGGGAGCCGGAGCCGCAACAGCCATTGTGCCAGGCCGCGCTCTGTACCCGGCCCCCACTCAGACCGAGCGGAGCGCACAAATTGCTCGGGGCCCAGCGCCGCCGGTGCCACACCGGCGCCCAAGGAGCGGGGACCGCCCGCCGGCGGTGTGTTCGTCCGGCGAAAAGATCGCCCGCCACGAGTGTCCCCCCGCCCCCATTGTCCGGCGGACGCGCCCGTCCCCCCTGGGCCGCACACCGGCGGCTGTCGCCGAAACCGCAGAGCACCGCCCCGCAGGGAGCCGCAGGCAGCCGCAGGGCAGGAGCAAGGGCCAGGTCGAGGTGCGAGGCATCGGAAGGGCCGCAGGAGATGGCATGCGGGCTCTCGGTGCCAGAGCGTTGGAATTTTGCCATTCAGTTCCGGCCGAAGCTCCCTCGCCCGGGCGAGCAGGCTTCCCGGTATGACGATCTGATTAAATAGTGTGCCAATACTCCGCGCCATGCGTGATGCTGCATCGCTCGTGACCCGCGCCCCTTTTCGGCAATCGGGCCGCCAGCCGATGGGAGACCGTTTGGCCCCCCCCCCCCCGGTCCCGGCCGTCATGTCTTCCCGCGCGCCCTCCCTCTCCCCCGGCCGATCGCCCCTCCCCACCAGCTTGGCCTTTCCTCAACGCCCCTCGACAACCTCCCCCATGCACATCCCCCCCTCGCCCGGCCGGCCAGCTCGTCTGGGAGGCACCGGCCCGCTCCAGGACCTGATCCGGGACATTCACCTTGCCCCGGGGGCCGGGCCACCTCCACCGGCTGACAACAGTGCGCGCCTGCGGTGTGCGGCCCGGGGCAAAGATCGCCCCGGCCCCCCCCCCCCCCCTCGCTGACGACGCCTTCCGCCTCACCTCTTTCCTCCTTTTCCTTCTCTTTGCTTCTCCCTTACTTTTCCCCCTCCTCTTCTCTCTCCCCTCCCCCCCCCCCTCCCGTCCTCGATCTCATCAAAAAGCCACCCTGCTGGTCAAGGGCCCCTACCTTTTCTTTCACTACGATCACCCAGAGTCCCTGGCTCTCGGCCCGGCAGGACCGACTCCGGCCCCCTCGGCGCCCGATCGCTCGCTTCGTGACATCCTGGCCGGCCTGGAGCGCCTGTCCACCGAGGCCGGCACCGCCGCCGGCACCGCCACGACTGGCGGCATGGCCCCCCTGACGGCCGATGCGGGGTGGGGCTGTGCCTACCGGTCGCTTCAGACACTGGCCTCCCACTATGCGTTTGCGGCGCGCGCGCGACTACGCGTCGCTGCCTCCCGCGGGGAGTCTCCCCAATCGCCAGCCACCGCGACCCTGCCACTGCCGGACGATCGCCTGCCCGGCGAGCCGCTGCTTGTCCCGTCGGTGGCCGCTCTGCAAGAGGTCATTCGGCGGCACCTCGGCACGCCGTCCCTCGGCTCGGCAGAGTGGATCGGCACGGCCGAGGTGGCACAATTGATGGATCTCCTCTACGAGGTGCGTGTTGCCTTGGCCGGCATCGCCCCGGCAGAGCGGCTCCCTTCGTGTCACTCACCCCCGCGCTCCGCCCAGGTCCCCTGCCGAGTGGTGCACATGGCACCTGGTGCGGGACTCCCCCTCGAGACTCTGGTCAATCACTTCATGACGGTGGCCACTCCGGTGATGCTTGGTGCGCGACATCCGACCGGCCGCCGGCACGACCCCGGGCCTGCAGTGCCTCTCGCCGCCCCGCCCCGCCCCGCCCCCCGCCCCCCCCCCTCTGTGCTGACCCTCTGCCCTCGCCCCTCCTCGTGACTCTGCCCTCCGCCGGTGCCCAGGCGGCAACTCCAAGGCCTTCACCATCCTTGGCATCAGCCTGGCGGGGGACGACGCGCTGGACCTCCCGGCGCACGTCCCCCTGTCATGCCCCGGTGTGCGTCTGCTCATGCTAGACCCCCATATTGTCTGGCAAAAGGCCTGGTCCGGCGAGGCAGCACACGCGGAGTACATCGGAGCCCTTCTCCGGCAAGGCGCCTGCCAGTGGAAGGTGCGCCTGCCGGTGTCGAGATGGAATGGTCACATACACACATCCACGCACGCACGCACGCACGCACGCACGCACTTGGCGACCTGCACTGACCCAACAGCCCCCTCCTCCTCCTGCCAGCCCCTGCATGCCATTTTCCAAACGGACACCTTCTACAACTTCTGCCTCCCCATCAAGCGAGGCGACTGAAGCCCGCCTCACCTCCGCCTGCAGCAATACAAAAAAAAGGCACAGCACATATGGGAGAGGTTAATGGGGAACATGTGCCTTATTGGACGACGACGCGCAAATGCTCTCCCTCAAGAATGGGAAGTGCCGAGGAGAGGGCAGGATCTACTCGGACAGGAGGGCCAGCTCCTCCTCGCTGCCCTCGGCCGGAGCCAGGGAGGCATCGACAACAAACTGCCCAGCCCGCCAGAGGGCCAGGAGCTCGCGCGCCACGGCCGCCTCTCGGTTCGTGAAGGCACTCTGATAGGTGGCCCCCTTGGCGGTGGTCTCATGGGCGTTGGCCATGGCCACGGAGAGGCCGGCACTGGAGCGTGCGTATGCCGGGCAGGGGGGGAGGGGGGGGGGGGAGAGGCGAGATCAGTCAGCACAGGGTGTGGGCCACTCGCAACAAAAAAAAAAGCCGGATGGGGGGGCGGGCAGGCGCCCAGCCAAGGGACGGAGAAGGTGCACGCCAAAGACTACGCACTACTGCAGGAACTCCAGGTCATTCTCGCCGTCGCCGAAGGCCACCACATTATCCACCGTGGTCCCGGGGAGCGGGCCGTCCGGGGCACCGAGGACGGCCATCAGCTTGCGCAGCCCCTGGCCCTTGTTGATGCCGGGGGCCAGCGCCTCGACGAAGAACTGCGCCGGGACAACGGTCGGGACCTCGGCATCCGGCAGGGGGACCCCGCCGGCGCCGGCCTCGGCGATCTGCCGGACCAGCTTCCTCATCGAGGCCTCCAGGGCCACGGTGGCCGAATGCTTCAGGTCCTCGGTGAACAGGATGACCTTGGTCGAGGGGGAGGGATGGTTCCGGAGGAAGTGCAGCGCATCATCCAAAACCACATGCGGGACCTGGCCGAGGCACTGACGCGTCGGACCGGGGCAGTCGCGCCCCGAAGCAGGGTGAGTGTGGGCGCCTGGAATGAAGGGGGGGTGGCGGCGGCGGCGGCCGCGGCCGCGGCAAAAGAAGGCAGCGGCAAAAGGGCCGGAAGCAAAGTCCCTCCCCCGCAACGCACCCCATACATCTGGATCGACACCGTGTCCTTGAAGCGCCGGTCACAGTAGAGCACATCATCAATGTACAGGTTGAAGGGGAGCCCACGCTCCAGGGCCCACTCCACCAGGCCAATGGACACCGGCAGGGGAAGCGGCGTGTGGAAGATGACGTCGCCACCGATGGACACCGCCGGCGGGACGCCGGTCTTGGCCAGAAAGGCCGCCGACGCCGCCCGGCAGGCATCATCCTCGGCCAGGGCCGCCGCCGGGATCGGCCGGTCGAAGGGGACCTCCGTGCGGTCGGGCAGCAGCACACGCGTCGGGTTGTGATGCTGATCCCCGGCGCGTCCGCCGCGCGTCAGCGCGCGCGCACCGTTGTACGTCACCACGTAGCAGTCCAGGCCGATGGCGTGCTCGTGCAGCACCGCGCCGGGGGTCATCCGGCCGGTGGCAATGACAACGGTCATGCCTTTCGGGGCAGGGTGCGTCAGGGGGGTCAGAGAGGGAGAGAGGGGGGGTGGTCGTGTTTCACATATGCACACCATGGCTGGAGAGCAGGCGCAGAACCCTGCGCGAGGCATTCGGAACCGTGTTCTCCGCGTTCA